TTGAGCCGGTGAGATTTGAACAGCCGAACTGCAGAACTGCAGTCAGCTGAAGTAGCCTGCAGTGCTGCATTTAACCACTGCGCCACCTCGGCTCCACGTAACACCTCAGGTACTGCTCTACCATGGCATTCATAACTTCTCCCCCACCCCCCATTGGTAGCCAGATGAAAAGCTGAGCTAAGGCCCTTGGATGACCCAATGGACTGCAGGAACTCCCTCCAGAATTTAGCCATGAACTGGACCCCTCTGTCTGAGATTATTCTTTGTGGCACTCCATGCAGGCGGTAGATGTGCTTCAGGAACAGTTTGGCTAGCTGGTGGACTGAGGGTAGTCTGCTGCAGGGTATTGGGTTTGGGTAGTTTTACCCCAGGGATGATTTTGATGGTGCAGTCCGTCTCGCAGTGGGGGTAGGATGTTGCACTCGGCCTCACTGAACACTTCCGCAAGGTCCTGATATTCTTTGGGGATTTGTTTGACCTCTGGTGTTTTGTCGGAGGTGGCTGCCAATTGTTCTTGTGGGGCCTTTGGGGTGGTTTCCTGCGTGGGTGATGTTTCTATTTGCTGGTGCGGAAGGGGTTGGGGTCCTCTTGCGATCCTCAGCCTCCTAGCCACCAGATTGTCGGGTCCCACTTGTCTAGCCAAGAGAGCCCCAATATGACCGTGTCTGTCTTTCTGGGGGCTATTATGAATCGAATTACTTCCCAGTGATCCGCTAGTTCTAGCCTCACTGGTTTAGTCAGGTGGGTGGCATAGGCTCCTCCCATTAGGGACCCATCGACCTGCTGAAACCGGATCGGGTGGGCCAGTCTTTTTGCTTTGATCCCCAGTTTCAGGACTGTGGTTAGGTTAATCAAGCATCTAGTGCAGCCTGAGTCTATTAGGGCTTGAAAAGTACCCTGGGTCCCTGTTTTTGAGGCTGTGAGGTCTATTGGGAGGACAAAGGGGTGGATTGGTTCACTCACCATTGGGTCGTTTTCACCTTCTTCCTGACTGTCATAGGGATCCAGTGATTGGTCATCATTGACTGGAGTGTCAACTCCCCACCTTCAGCTGAGTCGGGAGGGACCGCTACAGCCTGGAGGGCTTTTGGGGACGTGTCGGCGTCACGCCTGGGGCCTCGTTTCAGAGCTGGGGTCGCATATGATGATGCAATGTGGCCCAACCCTCAGCATCTGTAGCATTTCAACTGGCTTCATGGGAGGATTGGCCTTGGGGCCAGCTGTGCTGCTGCAGCCTCCTGTCGGCCGGATGGTCTCCAGTCTGGTTGTCCTTTCTCCTTGGTATCCGGTTGCTTCCGCATGTCATTGGCACACAATCCATAGTCAACTTTTATGGCAACTCGGAACCACTCAGAGAATCAGTTTGGAATGTCCTGATAGGGGGTTACTTGGGCAATGTGCTTATCCAGGCTCGTTCTGAAAAAGTGAACTAATAGCTGCTCCCACAAAGGGGGAAGCTTCCCCACAACTCTCCTGAATTCATGGATGTGTTCCTTAATGGGTTTCCCTCTTTGTTTTAGGTTTCAAAGTTCATCCTTCGCATACAGATCCTCCTTCACTTCCTCAAATCTGGCTTCTAGCTCTTGTAGGAAGTCATCAACGTCTTGCATCTGGGGGGGCTCTCCTCTTATGGAGGGCTGCTAGCCATTCCTTTACTTCTCCCTCTATTCCCCCCCCCCGATGGTATTCACCGTGGCTCTGTGTGATGGGTAAAGGTGTCCGTAGCACTCTAGGTGAACTCTAGCAGAGCCAAGGAATAGAGCCAGTTGATTTGAGTCCCCTTGAATCGGGGCGTTTTGTTCAGCCCTGCTCCTCCCTCATCATGTTGGCCCCCTTGTGCCTGCACTTGGTGTGTTTGGCAGTCTTTCTCAGCTCTTGTTTGTAGAGGAGGGTGTGCACGCCTTGGGCAGCTTGCCTGTTGCACAGAGGAGCCACCAGCAGCAGCCTTGGGCTCATTCTCCTTCTGGTGGGTGGAGAAGTGGGGGGCTGCATCTCCTCACTTCAAAGGGCTCAGATGCAACCCCCCTGTCTTTGGGGCTGCACGACGTCACCTCATCACAAAGGGTGATTCGGTTAAATTTCTCCCTCAGCTGTTTTAAGGATTCCCCCCAAGGTTTCCATCAGAATTTTTGGGAGTCTGGCCTGTTCCCAGTCCCTCATTCATTCCACTCTTCCTAGCTCACTCAGGGGTTTCCCCCAGCCCCAGACACTTGGGTAGGGGAGCTCAACCTAAGCCGCTTTGGGGACTTTTCCCCAACAATACTCATCCCTTGTCGTTTCAGTCACTGGGGCGGGCATCTCGGCTGTCTCGGCTTTGATGTCCAGGGAGTGCTGCAATTTGGCTCCAGTTGGGCTGCTGGTTCCTGGAGTTCCCTGGGTGGGGGCAAGTTCTACCCCGCACTGGATCGCTTGGAGCAGGCTCTCTTGGGATAGTCTGCCCTCTGCCATGGTAGCCTCAGTTTCTTTCTGCGCTCCCCAGGTGTCGGGGAGCAAATGGAGAGCCTGGGACTCAGGAAACCCGGTTGTTTTTATTAGTTTTGGGAGAGTTGGCTTTCTGTCAGGGTTCCAACTGATTCCCTCATTAAATCATGAGCCTCAAGCCAAGCTTCAAAAGAAATCCAGTTATTTATTAGGCGCTTCATGTCAGCACAAACCAAGTGAAGCCAACTCTGACCTCACTTAATTCGTGCCTTGGCTCTGACCCTGTTTCTGCCTCCCCCCCAAGGTGTGTCATCAGTTACATTCCCCAATGAAGCAATTTTGCTGGTTGGAGATGACCTTGACATTGACAGCTGGAATGTGCTTTGTATTGACTGAAGTGCAAGTTCCTCTACGCAGCTGCGAGGCTCGATTCCCCATCCCCCTGCCTATGGCAACTCAAGAGCAGGTCAGGAATGCTTCGTGAGTTGACATTAAATGCCTTTGGAGAAACTGGTTCACCACAGCCACAATATCTAACCAATATGGAACTAAAGTGGGCAAGCCCATGAAATATGTACCAAAGTTCTTTTAAATTTATTAGATCTGCAGCACAAAAATAATGATAACCAACTTTTAAAAGCATTATCTAAGGAGTACAACATACTCTAAATAAAGCAGCTAGTATTCTTCACGAAAGTTGGCAACATACTAAGACAAAATATATTTTCTACCCTGTAAGCTGAAAAATAAACCTTGCCAAGTGTTTTTCTAAGAGAGCTGCTAACCTGAATATTTAATTAAACCTCAGGCACTCCTAAGATGATAAAAATGCCTTGTAAACCAAATAAATTACCTCTCTCTTTCTTATACTTCCTATTATCATATTGTCCAGAACCCTTTGGCTTCTGAAGAGGCTGAGGTACATCTGGGAAATGAGACTTCAAGTGAGATACTGTACTATCTCCTCCTTTTCATCAGGTGAAAAATTGGCTGACCCCAATTCAAATGGGAAATATACAGAAAGTTTTGTTTATCTCAGAAATCCTTTATAATGCCCATCTTTGCATGAAACATTCCCTTCATATCTCCAATTTTCTTGAAGAGATCTCTGGTCCTCCCTATTCTATTGTTTTCTATTTCTTTGCACTGTTCATTTAAGAAGGCATTCTTATCACTTCTAGTTATTCTCTGGAATTCTGCATTCAATTGGGTGTATCTTTCTCTTTCTCCCTTGCCTTTGATGGAAGGAAGAACATCCCTGATAATCACAATGGGGTGGTCACTGACCTCGAGCCAGACATCTTAGAATGTGAAGTCAAATGGGCCTTAGGAAATCTGAGCAACAACAAAGCTAGTGGAGGTGACAGTATTCCAGCTGAGCTATTCATGCGTGAGAATGGGAGATGGCTGCCGAGTCTCATCGCTCCGGCTATTGGAACTAGAAAACAAAAGATTGCAGGAGATTAGGACCCCGGACATGATAACGGAGGGGTCCCTCCAAGACGTCAACGCTCGGGCCTCCCGGGGAGGTAATTATTTGAGGAGGGGGCTNTGGGTAGGTGGGTTGGGCGGTGATAGGCAGAGGATCGGCCAGTCCTGAGCAGATTTATCAAGGAAGCCTGGAGGACGACAGTCTCTTCCGGCACAGGTGCCCCGGGGAAGCCGGCAGTCAGTTCTGCTGTAAAATGAGGTTTTCCAGTTCGTCTGCCGAGCGGAGGAGGAAGGCTGCGGACTCCCGGTAGCCGGCGATCAGCTGCCGGACGGCGCTGATCTCGGTCGGGCTGAGCTGGGCGGCTGGCACCCCCCGGTTCGTGCTGTTGGCTGGTGGGGTGGTGCTGGACGTGCCGCTTTTCATGCTGAGGTCAGTGGGGCCTGCAAAGCGGAGGAGGAGGAAAGAAAAACATGCCATTGCCGTATTTTCCTTCTTTCCTTCCTTCCCTTCTTTCTTTTTCTGTTCTCTGAGTCCCTGGTGGTGCAGTGGCTAGAATGCAGTGTTGCAGGCAAAGTGCCCACAGTGTGGAGTTCAATCCTGACTAGCTCATGGCTGACTCAGCATTCCATCAAACGGAGGACCCCGATGGTTGGGGGGGCAAGAGGCTGATTCTGTCAACCACTCGGAGAGGGCTGTAAAGCGGTATATAAGTCTTAAGTGCTATTGGTAAGTGTGAGGAAGGAGGGAGGGAGGGAAGGAAGAGGGAAGGAAGGGAGGAATAAGGGAAGAAAGGAAGGAAAAAAGGAAGGAGAGGAAGGAAGGATGGAGGGAAGGAATGAGGGAGGGAGAGAAGGAAGGAAAAAAGGAGGGAGGGAAGGAAGGAGGAGGGAAGGAAGGACGGAGGAAAGGAATAAGGGAGGGAGAGAAGGAAGGAAAAAAGAAAGGAGGGAGGGAAGGAATAAGGGAAGGAAGGAAGGAGGGAAGGAAGAACGGAGGGAAGGAATAAGGGAGAGAAGGAAGGAAAAAAGGAAGGAGGGAGGAAGGGAAGGAGGGAGGGAGGGAAGGAAGGAAGGAAGGAAGGGAATAGTGGTCAGAATGCAGCATTGCCGTGCCCACTCCATCAGGTCAGATACAACCCTGATGCGGCCCTCAATGAAATCGAGTTTGACACCCCCTGATCTAGGCGTCTCCTGCTTGAGCAAGGGGTTGGACTAGAAGACCTCTAAGGTTCCCTTCCAGCTCCTTTCCTGACTGAGCTCCCCTCCTTACCGTTACTGTGATTCCCTGTCTGGAGTGAAGGAGTCGGCTGCAGAGCCCCTCCCAGCGTCCCATAGCTGCGGTAGCTGTAGTTCAGGCTCCCGTTGATGTAGACGGGGTCCTGGGAGAAGGAGGAGGCTGGCAGTGAGTAGGACGAATGCGTGACGGAGGCGGACGAATCCCGAGACTGCTGCTTCTCGAGGGTAACCGGTTCGTCCTGCGAGGAGAGAAACCGAGGGGCGGCTTGCGTCAGGGGCAAAGGGAACCGTAAGGGTGCAGCATGCATCAGAGCTTCCATCTTCGGCGTGGCACCTTGCTGGCATCCTGCCATGAACGTGGAGATGAAATGGGCAACAAGCATGTATTGCTGTGGCCCGCCAGTGGCCAGCCCAGGGGGCAGCAGATTCGGACAGTGAGGAGGTTGGGGAGGAAGATGGGCCTGTCCTGGAGTCTGGGGAAGGCTCTGATGAGGGTTCTGTGTCGGAGGCAGAGAGGGGGTCAGGGCCGTCTGACAGTTATCAGCTGCCTTCGGAGTCAGACATCAGTGG